ATTTATACCAATAATATAAAGAGATTTTCGGTTATATTCAACATGTGTAAAGTACAAAAATTAAAAAATATATATATTTTTTTAAATGTGCTTTAAAATGTGCTACGAAATTACCTGATTCTCGGCAAAAGCTTCAACATGAGCCAGCAAAGGAGCACGTAAATTGCTCGCCATCCGAAGAGCCTCTGCTAACTGTGCCGGTGGTAATTGTAAAATAACGGCGAAACTTTGTGGCTGTGTACGTTCGCAGCACTTCACGAAGCCTTCCCACACTTTCGGCTGTTTCCACACTTGCTTCAGAATCAGTCGTTGAAGTATATTCATAACAAATCCGCTTAATCTAGGATAAAGAGCCAAGCTTTGTATAACTGTACGCATTAATAATGTCGGTAAAGGTGTCATTTCCATAAGATGTTGCATCACAACGGCGACTGTTTCCTGCGTGTACGCTTGTTTCTCAGCAAAACAAAGAGATGTTGCTGTATACGAAAGAAAAAATTCCGTAAAATTTATGTCAATAAAAACTTTCTCTCGAGGAAATAAATAAATATTTCGCGTAAATCAAATTACCTTTAATGACGGTTTTTAATTCAGCCTTGCTTGGATCTATACTATGTAGAGCTATCAATAATTCCGCAGGCGTAATAGGCGATGTATGAGGAACTCCACTGTCATTATTATGTGTCCCAAGTAATCTGTTAAATACCTGAAAAAAATGTATTTATTATGCTTTAATTATGCTTAAGAAGGTAGCAAATTAAAGTAATATTTTAAATGCATTATTTACCTCTTTTACGACAATAGGATTTAATTTGATTAATTTTGGTAATGCGGCGATTACTTCTTTTTTTGTGAGTCCATTTAAGACAGGTATTAAAAATCTGACATCGGAAACTCTAGTCTGATATAATTCGCGTACTCTGGCTACTAACTCTGCGCTTGGGGCAGCTGCATACACATATACCATAATATAAAACAATAGACAAAATACAAATTAAAAAAATACATATTTTAAATAATAACATACACTTTTCTGTAAGAATATGTATAATCCTTGTGACTAAAGTTTCAGATCCTTTTGGACAGTTTTCAACAAGTGCGAGAAGTTGTGGACTACCCATACCTAAAGATCTCACTGGCCCTTCTACCAGTCTTAATACAATACGTTTCACATCTGCTCCCATTGACGTATATACTCTAGCTAATCTGTTATTTATTAAATATACAATATATAGCACGCAGAATTTTCATACAAATATATTTTATATACGTATATTTAATAATTAAAGAAGAAAATGGTTTTATATTACTTACTCGTGAATCAGATCTTGATGTTCACTGAGAAGAGCAAGATACAATCCTAAGCAGGCACGTGTAGTTGATTCGGTCCATAGATTCTCGATTTGCGGTCTGCCTCTATCTTGTCCGAAAACAATCTCCGGTGGATTATGAAGACGTAAAAAGCCTAAATATAGTACTGCGTATTCCTCGATTAGTTTACTTAACTCTGCTCGGCTGTATAACTGACAAACTAATTGTATTGCAGCTTCTCGTATCTATTTATTAAAATGTATTATAACATTTTACTTTATATAGTATCAATATACATATTTTTAAATTATATTTTTAAATTATATATCATATAATTTTTAATTTTCTTACTGTATTGTTTTCATGTCCAGTATGGCACAATAAGACATTTAAAAATACCAGTTGTTTAGTTGGTCTACGCACTACCATTTCTTTCAGAAGTTGCAATGGTGCAAGACCTCTAGTTTCGTCAGATGATACCATTTTTAAAGCCTCTACAGCATCTTCTGTTATTAATGGTGCTTCCAAATAAAGCCTTTTATAAGAAAAAGTTTTGTGAACAATTAGATTAACATAAATGTTTATACTTTTATATTTCATTTCACACGTGTATGCTTTTTCTAAATTTAATATTACCTGGATAACAAAGCATCACGATCTTTACCCTGAATCAAATCAATAGCTGAAACTAAAGTGCATAATAAAAAATTATATGCCTGATGTGGAGCTTCTTGTGGTTTTGTACATAACGTAGTTCGCCTTTGAAATCCTTGTAGCAATGCATATTCTTCATATAGCCAACCTAATGCTAAATCTAATCGATTTCGCATGTCATCAGTAATATAACGTAAAACAGCTTCTTTAATGTAAGGATTGAAAGTGGCTGCTAGCGTAGTCAGAATCTTGGATCTGTAATACAATATAGATAAGACAAAGAGATAAACTATTAATGATTAGATACAACATAATATCTGTGTGCATGTGTGTGCGCGCGCGCGCGCATGTGTGTGTGTGTGTGCGTGTGGAGGGGGGGGGGAGTGTATGTATGGATGTGTCATATATTAAAAACTTTTATACATAATAATAATTTATGCTCCGTTATACCTTACAGTAGCTACACCACCAAAAACTGCAGTCTTTTCTGAAAGTAATATCCTATTGACTGCCATCAATAACATCCGTTCTTTAATTTCCTTCGGAAGTGGTTTTGTCACTTCGACTAATTTCAATGCCTTCATACGATTTCTGGCCTTTGCAAGTGATTTCTCATGAGCCTCTAATGAAGCTTTTGCTTCTTTCTCTTTTTCCCGATCTTTTTCACGTTTACGCTCCCGCTTTGCCTCAGCTACACTAATTGTGGGATTTTTAATTAAGTCTTCCATTACAGCATCTTCTTCCTTATCTCTTTTGTTCTTTTTTGCTTTAGTCTGTTTAATTTGTGTTGCTAGAAGTTTAGCAATTGTTTGACGTTGTATATTAATATCAGTAGTTGCTGTGGGTTGATATTCCCTTTGGAAAATTGTAGTCATAGTATCCGGAACCCATGCCTATTGAATATCATTCAATATTGATAATTTAAAGTTTATTTTAGATAGATTAATATAAAATATAATTTGTAATCATACCATACTATCCATTACCAAATCCGTTGCAATTTCTACACTGAGTCTTTCGGCAATAAAACTTTCAGAAAGTTCA